GATTCAATTTAATCTATTGTATATTGATAGAAATGAACATAAATCGAACTATGCAGGAATATCTCATGATGAAAAATCAAATTTCACAAGTAAGTTTAAGGTAATTTTAATTAAATTCCAATTAACTTAATCGACGACATATTCGACCGACACACTTTTTAATTGTACAATTCATTGTCCTTAATCATAAATATTCTTTATCTTTACTTATGTCCATTTCTTGTAGACTAAATTTAATCTTAGTTTGACTTATTCTTTATCTTTTTCTAATTCTAAGAATTATAAAAGGATAAAGAGTAAAATTAATCAACATTAAAATTAATTTACATTGGTAAAAGTAAACATTAGTCCTACTTAAAAATTCTTTAAATTCCTAATCGTGCTCTTATTAACTTAATGATAAATTCAACCGATACAATTTCTAATTATAAAATTAGCTATTCTCGATCTAATCTTTCTTTTCATGTGTCAACAAAAAAAATTAATAATTCCATTTACGTTAACAAGATACTGCAGATATTAATCGACAAGTTAATTGAAGTTAATTGGAGTAACCTGTAGAATCTGTACATCAAGCTTGAGGTTATTGCATTAAATGTTCCAACAGATGTACGAAAGTTCAATGGAATTGAACAGTTTAACAAGATATGATAATTATCTATTAATTCTAATCGAGATAGTCCTAGACAAAGTTTATCTAGAGTAAACGGGTACGACTCATACGAATGCACACGTCACCGGCAATAAGCGTCAAGTGAAATGCATGACTCAAGCCAGGCAACGCTCACCGGAATGCGTAACGGCGGCTAACCAAACTTTGCGCTTTCAATCTCCCCGAGCTAGCCAGCCTGAAAAATAAATCCGCGCGAAAGAAAATCTATCCATTTTACATATAATTTGAATATCATACGTTCGATCGCGCTTAATATTAGGCCTCCTGACGGAAAATAAATCGAGAAATATGCAGAAAGGGAGGTGCACCGTCGAGCGTTGCGGTATAAAACGATCGTCGTCTAAACTAAATGTACACTCACCGTTCGATGGAAGATCCTTGTATAAATCACCACCGCTTGTACGGCTCTTTCTCGATAGAATATCGACGAAAAATCGGCAGAGCACGACTTATTGTACGGGCAGAAATTTCAACTCCGGCGATGCGCTGACAGGTAGACTGACTGGGGCGTTTGCCGGATGTGCCGGAAGTACTGTTTTCGGCCGCTCCGATTTTAGCGGCGGTTTAAAATCGCCGATTGCACGCGCACAGGTCCGTCTTCAGTTCTGTTCGCCAGGGAAATGCACGGCGTATTCGAACTGTAATAATACTAAAAGAAAAACTGGAGCACTGGTCGTTATACTATAATCAACCGACAGAGAAGGTTTCAGGCGACAATGTATCCCTCTTTCTCTCAGTACAGTCTCAACCAAAAGTTCGTTTGCATTTTTTTACGCAGCTTTTGTATCGCACGCTTTTATTGGAGATGTAAAAACAACATTATTGTCTATTTTTAGTAATGTAGACTTTTAATTTTTTATGTCTATGGATTTAACTTGCTTTCTACCTTTTCCTCGTTCTAAAAATAAGAAAAATTTTAAGAGTAACTTAAACCGAGATTAAATTAATGTACATTACGATAGAAATGGATCAATAACAAAAGACAATAATAGCAAGTCAATTTTTTTTCAATTAATATATTTTATTATGAAACTTTTTTAGGCTTAATTGTTTTTCACAAAACTATAAAATACTCGTTAAAATATGACTTATGCAATTTAGTAATTATAATAAATTATATAATAAATAGAATAATTTCAATATAAACATTTTTCATGCATAAATATATGTAAATACGTATAAACATATGTAAATATTCATAAACATATATGAAATATGTCCATATCCTATTTATATATCCCTTTTTCTTTTATAAAATTATTTTTTAATATAATAAAAAAAAATCAAGTTTGAAAAAATGTAAAAAAATGATTAATGTATAATTATTATATAAAAGTATATATAATTGTGTATAAGCAATTTTTTTTATGTTTTTCAAAATTTTCTTCTAAAATAAACAATACAAAAAGTATCCCTTTAATTATTTTTTATGTTTCCACATTATTATTATTATTTCTATTACACTAAAAAGTAATTTTACAGAAGAAGAGGAACATAAACATGTACGGATATATATATCATTATATATGTTTATAAATATTTATGTATGTTAATTTTATACATATTTATATAACATTATTTATGTATGTTTATACATATTTATACATACTTATAAAAAAGTGTTTACCAGATTGTTTTGACGCTTTAATAATTATAAAAAATTAAATAATCCTTTTCATTCAAGATGCAAATTAAACATAAAATTATAGCGATCCCATCCTATTAAAAAATCCAATATATTACCATTTTTCGGAAAAAAATATTACATATGTATATATGGACATATTTTACATATAATTATATATAAGTGTACATAAAATATGTCAATTTTTTTATATAATTATATATAATTTTATATAATGTCATATGAAATATTTTTTCCCAGATTAGTTATAAAGGTAATATGAAATTATCGCTTCTTATATTTACATATTTATATACTCTACGTATTTCTCGCAAATTAGTATTCTGTTATAAAACCTGTTTTTATAACAGAATACTAGATTTATTTCTTACGAAACTATACTCAATTTGAACGATCATAGAAATGCACCAATCAAATGTTTAATGTAAAAGGTGCCATATTGTGTTCATCACACGAGGCACATGATTGGTCCGCTCTTTTACGCATCTGCATTAATAATCCATTAATATACAAATTTACTTATCATTCGCTGTTATTTGTTCTTATATAATGTATACAGCCATCTAAAGGTTCCAACTATTCATAGATCTGATTTAACCTTATTGGCGCGAAGACTGTTAAGAGTGTTAAGAGGAGCAGAGCAGAAGAACCATGTCAAGGACTTGGTGATGATAATTCAGCTTATCGTTATCGGCTTGTTTTCGTGAGTTCACCACAGTTCATCGTTAATTCGGCTCAATTTATATTTTTTCATATAAGAAAGTGCCAGTATCACCCGGACTAGTCAACAAAATGAACACTAACCTCCTGTTTGTTGAATCAGTGGAAGTACTGCGGAATAGTTTGTCGCATTACCATACCTTGTTAGAAGCGATTCTGGTGGTTTGGATAGTGTGGTTTATTTCTAAGAAACGAAGTAACCAGGACTCAGTACTTTCAAAAGAGTTGGTGGAGAACAAATTAGCAGAGTGGCGGCCGGAATCTCTCGTACCAGAATCACCGAAAAATCATCCTTCATTACGTCCAAAATACGTCACTTCCAAAGTCGGAAAGCGAGTGATAGTTGATGAAAAAAATTGCCTTAATTTGGGTACACATAACTACTTAGGTTTAAGTGACAAAGCAGAGCTGATAGAAAGTGCTGCAGCGGCTATAAAGAAATACGGCGTTGGATCTTGCGGACCACGAGGCTTCTATGGAACTGTCGACGTACATCTTGAATTAGAAGAACGTTTAGCTAAATTTATGGGCGTGGAAGAAGCAATAATATACTCGTATGGATTCGCCACTGTGTCGACTGCAATTCCAGCTTATTGTAAACGTAAAGACTTAATATTTGTGGACGAGCGAGTGAATTTTGCCATACAAAAAGGATTGGACGCATCTCGAGGAAATATTCAATATTTTAAACATAATGATGTTCAAGATCTACGTAATCTCTTAACGAAACAGGAAGAAATAGATAAAAGACATATTAAAAAGGGTGTGAAAATCAAACGTTTTCTGATTATAGAGGGTATTTATATGAATACAGGAAACATCTGTCCTCTACCAGAATTATTGGCTCTGTGTAAGGAGTACAAATTGAGAATCTTTATCGATGAGTCAATATCATTTGGTACCATCGGACTACATGGAAAAGGTGTTACTGAATACTTCAACATTCCTATAAGTGAAATAGATATGATAATGGGTGAGAAGCAATTATTAAAGCCAAATATTTCTTATTAATATATGAATACATGTATAATAGTATATATTTATATATATATATTGTATATATTTTTTAGGATCTTTAGAATGGGCTATAGGAACTATTGGTGGCTTTTGCATAGGAGCCTCCTTTATTATCGATCATCAACGTTTATCTGGTCTTGGCTACTGTTTCTCAGCGTCTCAACCACCTCTCTTGGCATCCGCTGCTATCACTTCTTTAGATATAATTGAAAATAACTTAGAAATATTCCAGTCTTTGAGAAATAATGCCTTATCCATACACAATGGTCTCAAAGAAATTCTAATGTTAGAGTGCTCTAGTTTTGCGGAATCACCTTTGAAGCATGTATATTTAAAGGAGCAAAAAGATCGTGCCATAGAAGAGAAATTACTATCTGCAATTTCAAATAAATGTATAGAAAATAACTTGGCGATTATAGTGCCTGTCTATTTGGAAACTGAAATAATTTTACTCAGACCTAGTCTCAGACTTTGTATATCTGCTAGTCTGGATAACAGTGATATCAAGTTTGCACTAAATACTTTAAAGAAGTGTACAGAAGAAGTTTTGTTGTCATTTTGTGAATAAAATAAATGAAACTTGAAAGAGTTACATTTTAAGATATATTCAGCTTATACATCAAAAATGCATCTATTTATACATATCATATTCTGTGTATCAACACAGATATATTGATTCGTCCATGTAGCTTTTTTGTATGATGAAAAGTTATTAAAATAAAATAGAGCTTTGAAAATATTATATACCTATTTTTTTAATATTTCATAGAAAAATGACATCAAAATTTTATAAAAAGAATATTAATCCTTTTAGGGATTATTGTTGTTGATAATTATGAAAAAAATCTAAGCGTGTATGATACAATAAAAATTAAAATTTATAAATAAATCAATGTTGATAAATAAATATTTAAATATTGTATGTTTAGTTACAAAAATTCGCTGAATACAACTTACATGAAGGAGCAGACTTTTAAAATGTTTTGTCCGAAAATTTTATTTTTTTAGTTAGAGATGGTGTAATGTTGGAAGACTCGTATAAGCTACTCTGGAATATTCATTTTTTCATCTTTAATTTATATGCTGAAAAGACCTAGACATCGAATGCATTTATGTCCTTTAATTAGAGACAAATACAATGTTTAACATTTTTTGCAATTGTTTATGTTTAGTAATTTGGTTAACAGTTCATATGCTACTGATTAGCATATATTATTTTTTTAAAGCATAGTTTTCTTTCTCGTTTTCTGAAAATTATAAATTTTAAAAGTTTGCTCTCCATATAATTATATAAAAAAGTCTGCTATAATACGACAACTTGCAAACCGCTTTATTATTATAATAGATACAGATACACCCTTATTAGTTGTCTCTCGTTTCAGGTTCTTCGTCATATGCCGCCATGACCTTTTCCATAATTTCCCATAACTTATCCCTCGCTAAATCTTTACAGAAAACCTGTAACAAAATAATTTACATATAAACCTATTAATATAAATTGATGTAGAAATAATACTCACATATAATACATATAATACTCACATTGAACCATGGCTGTTGATCGCATTCATCCATCAAAGGTACAACCACACCATAAATTTGCAATGACAAATTAATACAGGCTATTGCTATTAAATTCGGTGAATAGTCAAGAATAGCTGGGGAATGATGAAAATCTTGCAGCAGTGCCATGCTTGTTTTGGCGACAGGATACTTAGACCATTCTTCTTCGCCAAACCAAGCTTGCAAAGATCGTAGATAATGAAGCATGTACTGCAATAAAGTATAATGTAGTTATTAATACGTTGACACACATGTACATTAACATTAATAATATTTGCAATACCTTATGCGGATGTACAGGTGTAACTTGAAATTTGAGCATCCTCATGATTAAAAGTTCAGCTTGAACAATCGCATCTCTCATACTCCAATACTGATCTCCAAGATCAAGCGGCTGAGATCCTCTATGAAGTGTATTATAAGATACATTCATTACGTCTCGTATTTTTAGCGTATCATCTTTTACTTTACCAGCTAGATAAAGACAAGTTGCAGCTAAAAGCTAAAAAAAAGATAAAATTTGTCAAATTTATTCAGAACTTATGTAGAATCTCGAAATAATTATACTATAACATTTTTACATAATTATCATATCCCTGTGGTGTCGCTTCTTTAATAAATCTATGATATAGCGTAGCAGCGGTAGCTATTGTCAGTGGGTGAGCTTCCAATTTCAAACCTACAATCAAACAAGTATTTTATAAAAAATCATATTTTATAGACAACTTTCTAATGATAAATTATTATTATAATAACATACCGCATTCGAAGATAAATCGTGAAACCGTAAAGCTATCATTAGATTTGGTATAATCGATTGTAATGCTTTTTTGTAATGTATTCCTTTTTTCACGTTGCATTGCAAGAACATCGATCACATCTTTCATCTTTGAGCTAAAAAAGTGCAAAAAAATGCATTAAGAACCGATTGTTCCATCTTTGAATAAACTATGTGGTAATCTACCTACTGAATAAACAAAAGAATAAAAGTAAAAGCATAAGAAAGTAAGAGTGTAAGGCAGTGAATTGAAGTTAACCGAAAGGTAGAGCAACCTAGTCTAAATATATAAAAGAAAAAAAGTAACAAACATAGCTCGATATACAACAAACTTCAAGAATAACAATGAGTGCCAGAATTATGTCAGAATAGCGTTGAGAAAATATTGAAAAGCATTTGATCTGTGAAGAGTAAACTAGCGTATAACCTTATCTCAGTGTCATCCAATGTGAACTCATTGTACCTGAGAGTTTCGGTGCCGGTTGGCTCTGAGGGATTCATCGCGGATATACTTGTCTTCGCAGAAAAGGTCTCGTTTAAAAATTGTGTAAGCGCGCTAGTGAAAAAACTTCAGTTTCCAACTCATTCAGGTACAAGAGATCCAAACCCGAAAGAAACCTGAGAGCGGCCATACCGCCATATCGGCTTTTTTCATATGACACGCAAAAACCAGCAAAAAATCTACCCGTATATTAGCGGCATCAACGTCATTTTCTATAAAATGATGTGAACTACGTATCACATTATCAGCACCGTTGATAAAGTCGTATTGTCGAAAATTGAATTTTAAAAAGAAAATGTTAGATTTTATGATACAATTAAAGAAAGTTTGCAAAAAAATTTTGTTCTCTCTGTACACGTCATCAAAGTTAAAATTTATTTTTCAATTTTTTAAAATTTATTTTAAAATAATGTCATCTATAAAGCGAAATTGTTCCAGAGACAAGGACATGAGGTTTCAAGTCTGGATAGATACGAGATTGGACAAAAGCAAGATTGGACAAAAGGAAGATTGGACAGATGGAAGAATGGCCAGAGGATCGATTCTATATCTTGAAACGAGATGAAAATTACAAAAGTGAACGAATTTACTAGAATACTGATGACAATTTTATTGGTCAACATCTAGTAAATTTGTTCACTTTTGTAATTTTCATCTTGTTTCAAGACATAACATCGACGAGATACTATTAAAGTCCTTCGGCGCTTATGGAAATTCGCATGCCTGTTAAAATTTAAGCAATTAATTCTAAAGATTAGAAAAAGACAAAGAGTAAGTTGAACCGAGATTAAAGTTAATCTACGTTGGTAGAAATGGGCATAAGAGTAATAAACTAGTAATACGGATTAATTTCATGATTTATTAGTTTGGTAGACATGTACATATGTTTCAAACTTAATAATACTCGATTTTTATTTAAAACTGTGATTTTAATGATATCCGAGTTTGATTATCAATAGAGATGATAACTGCAGAGGAAAAATTATAATTTTTCGGCAATATATAAGATATTATGTTAAAAATATAAGTTTAAAGCCGATTCTACATTAGTTGCAAGCTGATTGCAAGTTTGTTGCGACAATCAACCTGAAGCTTGCATTTTGGAATCAGCTTCATATTGGCAACTAGCTTGCAACTAATGTAGAATCGATTTAATGCGCATGATATATCATGTTATTCTTGTTTAACATAGGCCTAGTTTCCATCAAGGATTTAAACCAGATGTAAGAACCAACCAACTACAGTCAAGCATTCCTTTGTCGTTCGACTGTAACAGGGAAATACTCGACTGTAATTGGTTGGTTCTTACATTCTAATCCGGTTTAAACCTTCGGTGGAAATTAGGCCAAAAAAAGTGTTAAGCAAGGATAACATGATACATCATGCGCATTAGAGTATATCTATATAAACTTGCATAGTCGCATAAACGTATGCATAAAAAAAATTATCCAATCATATGGCCGCACGAACTCTTGCATAACGCATAATACATAAGAGAATCAACCAATCGAAATTTTTCTTTTCCACTGGACTGGTAAAAATGGAAAGATTCTGATTAGTTAATTCGTTTATGCATTATGCGTTATGCAAAAGTCTGTGCTGCGACCAATATTTTAACTTGTGCAACTTTGTAGGAGAAATGCGATTGAATCATTTTCTTTATGCATATGTTTATGCGGCTATGCAAGTGTGTGAATATACCATTATCCGTGCAACGAATCGCAGCCTATATCGCGATCTCTGCATAGTGACTCGCGACTGCTTACAGCGCTACCTTAACGGCGACCTGATTGGATCCATAAATATTCGCCCCCACCATGTGACTTGGGCACAGTATATACTTAGGTGTGGGTCTCTTTTTAGACACTTTGAACTTCGTACGTTGTCTGTTCACAAGCTCGTCGCGCGAGTCCGGTTGAGGTCTATCTTTTGTCTCGTAGGTTATGTCGCGTTGATAGCGCGTATTAAAATCGCGATCGCGTTAAAATCCATAAAATTACACGCGAATCTGTTTCAATCTACAACTCCGCGAGCGAGAAATTAAACGGGTCGGTAAAATCGCACGGCATTCTGTCCTCCATTAAAAAGGTCGGGTGAACACCCTCTCCGCTTATTGCGTTGCTTTTTGCTAATATTGAAATTCCTGAAATTCTCGCCTTTGCTTTCTTCGCGGTGGACGTAACGTAAGAAGAAGAGAAAGAAAGAAGGAAAGGGAGAGAGAAAGAGGAGCCGCGTCCAAATCGACGCCCGGAAATAAATAACACGTGGTGGAAAAGAAGAACTACGAAATGTCGGCGTCTCCTATTGCCAGACAGGCCACCCAGAGCCAGTGCATACCATCTAAGAGAGTCGTCATTCATCATCCCAACCAGCTACCGGTCGACTACTCGTCCACCCCCGGAGGCACGCTCTACTCCACGACGCCGGGAGGTCAGTATATCCACCTTTTCCAAATCTCCCATCTCTGCCCATTTTCCTTAGCCTGCATCTCCGAGATATCTAAGCTACAATCTACATCCCCAAGTTATCGACGGTTCCCTGTAAACCTTACGGAAAATACGCATTTAGACCGTATTCGTAGTCTATTCTTGAGCTAATAGAATACAGATTTCAGTTAGGATTAATTAGCGATTGGCAGCCCTATTGATTGAATTTTAGAATTTTATGATTAAGACCGAAACATAAATTAAGCATTGGATAAAGTCTTGAGATTATAAGCTAAGAAAGCTGTATTAGCATCTTAAGACAGTCTCAAGATGATCTTAAAATAAGAACGGATGAATACCTCCCTTACAATTGTTAAGGACACATATTTAGCTGATGCTTAATTAATAATGGCGATTGGCGGATAAATATCAGACGAAATAAAAAAATTCTTTTGTACAATTATTGTCCATCTTCGGAATTCGTCAAAATAAAAGAAAGCCCTTTTATCACGGGGATCGTGCGATCTCCTCGATATTGTACGCGAAGTCATTTACCATCTCACTAAACAATATGCGCACACGTGCAAGGCGCCCGTCAAGGCCATTGATATTTACGCATAACGCGATTGTATCTTTCGCTTTCTCCCCGCGCATACATACGTATACGCGTAAATGCGTCTCGATAACAAACTGTTACGTAATACTCGTTTCGGCGCGGGTCTGTTTCGTCGCCAGTTTGCATGGAAAATATCCAACGCTTTTGTGTTGCATACGCGAAATTATATCCCATTGAAATAGCCGGTTCATTATCAGCTCGGGATAATGCACGACCTTGACGTTAATTCATAGCCGACATGCAGAGCGACGGCCGGCAGATAATTTTTAGTTATAAACTTCTGGATGATTTGGTGACACAATTTGACAAAAGTGTCGTTATATCTTTGTTACTCATTGAATGTTGAGAAAGATAAATGAAGCTTGTGCCGATTTATATTACTAAATGAAAAGCGTGCTCTAATGACCTTCGAACATTCCCTCCTTTGTTAAATAATTAATATATCATGTTAATATATTATATCATTTTATTATATTTATTATATAATATATTACACATTAATCTGTACGTTATAATTTATGTATATATCATAATATATTGTACATTGATATATTAATTTATTAATATATTTAATTTAATTATCTTATGAATGAATAGTTTATTTACTTGAGCTCATTTCCAAGAAAGGACTTGGTTTAAAAATGTCTTCTACACATTCATCACACCTTATAAATTAAAGGCTAACTAGAACTTTTGATTAGCATATCTACATTGGTTTGTGCACCTACTTTCCAGATTATATATATGTATAGCTTATCTATCTACGGCAATCTTTACGACTTGTATCATATCAACATTATTTACAATTATTACATTATTACTTTATTACAAAATTCACATACATAATGTAAATATTTTGTAATTATATTGGTAAATATCCCATAAATTATAATTACATATGTTATGAGAAAAAATAACAGCATTATATTAATTACCTGTATATAAAGTCATAGAATTTAACTTTTTCTGTTTTTTTAATGTTTTCTTCAAATCCACGTTAATGTTTTTAGCTATCACTCTCAAATAATCTGAATTTTTATTTTCTGAAAGGAAAAGAGAGAAAAGAATAAAATTAAATTTGAACAAAACTAAAAAATAGAAAGATTTTTTTCTCTCTTAAGGAGAAAGTGATTTATTAAAGTAATAGAGATAAAATGAACGTGATTCAAATGACGAAGTCATAGATCCCCGTGCTACTTCTTGAAGAGTTTAATTTATTAAGGCTGAAGTTTAGATCGCCGGATTTCGACATTGAACGGGTAATATTGAATGTTGGTTCTACTTATTGCGTTTTTAGCGAATGATAGAAGGATAACTTATCGCGTTAATGTTTACACTTCTTTATATGCGCATCACTTTGGTCGCAAGCAAAGAGAAGGCGAGCCGTGAAATAAATACGTACGTTACAAAAAAATACGGATTGAAATTATACTGGGTGTCTTGCCATTTCCTTCAGTTTGCGAATTCTTTCACCAATTTCGAACGGGTTTTTTCCACCTGCACATTAGCTTCCAGAGCGATGAGTAATACCACTTTTAGTTATTAATCATATTGACAACTGCAGTTCACTTATCAAACAATGTTTCAAGTGGTCTTTAACAAAACCTTGCTCTTTGAGGTTTAAAACATCTAACAGCAAAAATTTAAAAAAATTATACAAAAGATTGCACCATTATTAAATTTTTAATACAGTTGAATGATTTATTGATTTAGAAAATTGTCAAACAAGTGAAATGATTTAAAAAAATGATATGTTATTGTTGGAGATATCTACTGATAATTCCACTCTATCTTATTCCCGACAAAGAGTTCGATTGTTGATATGACAATCAATATAACAATATTATTCTTTTTCTAATATTTTTATTTATAATGATAAATCGTTCTCTCCGAGATCGAATCTGTTCGATTTATACGTATCTAATTAGAGCACTCGACATATCCCGAATAAAATAACATTTTGTAGATTTACAATACAATAAATACTGTAAATGTACAATACGAAAGTGTCTATAAAGTGATCACTTGTCTGATCCCATTTTTTAGATTTCTTAAAAAAATCTCAGTTTCCGGTTTGAATTAAAAATATCCAGACATGAAAATTGTGTAAATAAAAAAATCTAACTGAGATATAGTAGATAATTTCACGAGTGGCGGTATGTGACGAAGAGTTAGCTGCTTCTTTTTCTTTTAACATGACACAAGCGAAACTGGGTAGCGAGATTGTCGACGAATTCGCAAACCAGGTGAGTGAAGCCAGGTCGCATGCACTTGGGACGTTGTTGTTCCTTGCTCGGCAGTGTTTCCTGGGGCGTTAAACAGCCAAGGCCGAATTAATGCGTGCGCGCGCGATACATACCACGTCGCCTGATGCGTAATCGGTGACGCGTGTAATGTTTATCGCTCGCGTCACGCCAGCGCGGCGCGCAGAAAGTCACGGCGATCTGAAAAACAAGGGTACACAGCGTGAAAACGACTGAACCTTCAAGATAACTTTAGCCGCGACAGTGAGCGCGCTTCGTAAATCTCGCATAAAATCTCAATACGTAAACAATGACGATCAATAGACAGCCGCTTCGCAGATGGATACGTGTTCCTTTCGAACCACTGCGAAACTATGATGAATTCCTTCTTTATTATTACTATTATGATTCAGGTTGGTGAACGATTTGGCCAGATAAGAGAGAAAGACGCTACTCAGTCGAGGAAAATTGATTATTGACTCGTGATTTCTGATCTAGTCGAATGATATTCCAAGTTAATAGATACAATCTTCTTCTCTATAGATATTTACATTATATCTATTATTAAAAGAGAATGTGAATATTTTCATTATGTTCGTTATTGAAAGAGAATTTTGTCAAATAAATTTTGATCAAGCTTTTTTAAACAAATATAAATTTATTTCACCTTGTGCTAAAAAAAAGAACGAAACAGTTACGTAAAAAAAAAAATAAAATGAAATTTGTGTTATGCGAATTAAAACGGATGTTATTTACACAAAGAAATTCTAACGTTTCTGGGTTGACTTTATATCGTATTATCTTTGCTTTCTGCAATTATGTTTTGGCATCTCCGCCGACCCTTGCACTCCTTTCAAGTTAGGTAGGTGTCCGTACAGAAATACCCTTGTATAAATAGGCTGCGTGCATTGCTTTTCGTATAACTGTCGGGCCATTGTGTCGTTTCTGCCTGTAATCGTTTTCCCATTCTACAAATTCTTTTTTTGAACTTTGGCCCATTATTCCATTCTATTGTAGTTAAATCTTATTTGCATTTTTCTGACTAAAGGAATGTATTACCTGAAGCATAAAGATTCATTGAAATCTCTTCTATCGACTCTACTCGGTAACCATAAAGTTACAATTATGTCAAACTTACAGGCAGAAACATGGCAGACAATTATATCGGGCCATTGTGTCGTTTCTGCCTGTAATCGTCCCATTCTACAAATTCTTTTTTTGAACTTTTACCCATTATTCCATTCTATTGTAGTTAAATCTTATTTGCATTTTTCTGACTAAAGGAATGTATTACCTGAAGATAGCATAAAGATTCACTGAAATCTCTTCTATCGACTCTACTCGGCAACCATAAAGTTACAATTATGTCAAACTTGCGATAAAATTTTAATTTATCCAACAATCCAACAATCATTAATATTATATTATAGTCAGATAATTTTTAATCACAAAAATTACAGCTTCAAATGTAACTTGTATATAAAAATACAAATTGCGTCGCAAGAAATATCAAGTATTTCGTGTGTGTGTGTGTGTGTGTGTGTGAAAAAAAACACACACACACACACACACACACACACATATATAGCCATTCACTCAAATTTAATATTCTAGAATATTTTCATAATGAAAATTTAACACATACCTAAAAGTTGAAGCTTCATTATAATAACAGATTTTATAGATAATTAAATCTTCGAATCTTGCACAGGTACTCGCATCGTATACGAACGTGCGTTTTTGATGAATTTGCGAAACTCTCCGATAGCACGAACACCACCAAGCAAATCGCTGAGGATACCGTCTGAATTACTGAGGGGGAATACTCCGATCATCACGAAAGATCCCGCAAAAAATACTAAGAAAGGTCAGTCTGCTTATTTAAATCGATTTTTCTTGTGCGATTCCTGCTTTTCTTACTAAAAAATATAGGTTGAATGAATAATGCATTATTAAAATATTTTACATTAATGACGATACATAATAATAATTGCATTAGAGAACTTTCCTCACTTTTGTTTGACGTTACAGATTCTCTGATCGAGGAATCCGCGGAGCAATTTGAAATGGATATGTGAATAAGTAAATGCAACGTGCTGTTGTTTATGACGATTGAAATGTGTTCGTAGCCATGCTCAAGAATATTGTCAATCAGTCCTATGACAATCGCACAGAGTTGAGAGCACATGGCTAATACGCTTTAATCCTGTGCCTTTTACCAGTGGTCTTAAGAATTGTGAATCTTATAAAAAGATTTTCTCCTTGACGAAAGGCCATATCTTATTCACATACATATATTGTATATTGTATACGAATCATTTTATTCTTGACGCTTGTTCTTGTCCAATGTTATACGTATATTTGCATATAAAGAACGGCCGTGAATGTAAAAGTGCTAATGTTTGTAAAACATTAGTGTCTAATGTCTTCCTTTTAAAAATGGCCAATGCGATGCTTTGTAACGTGTTTTGTAAGGAACTTGTATCTGTGAATAAATGATACATACATTTTATACATCCATACATTTTATTTTGTTATATTTTATTATATACATCTTATAAAAATATTTAAAAATAATTATAGATTTTCAGTATATTAAGATTTCTTTAATATATGTTGATTTGATATTGAGACATATATATTATTCCAATAGTTTAGCCTCTCTGAATTTTCAAATTCGATAAAATTTTCGACGCGCAATTCAAAATGATTACAAATTGGTGTGTGTGTGTGTATATATATATATATATATATATATATAATTCACATTTATTTAAGCGTCAAAGATCCAGCTTCGACTGTTACGAGCCTTTAATTCTTATTTCTTATTGGTTATGTTCTCACATATACAGTCCAATAAGATTCTTGTTGTATACAAATAATTAAGTACTATTTGAAAATTATATTGAACAATAAGTATTGTAACTTCATTTTTGAGCAAAAATATCTTATGACAATTCGAGGATAATCAAGCCACGTGTGTGCGTGTGTGTGCGTGTATATATAAAACCGTTACATAATAAAAAGTTTTATATAATAAAACGAAATTTCATGTCTTCTATTTTAAAATTAAAATTTAAAAGAATTTTTGAATTATATAATGATATTTGAATTATTTAAAATTAGAAGAATTAAATGTTAAGCTCGCGCTTAGATATAATATCAAACTGTCGCGCAATACACTTAGAAAATCTTCGAAAAGAATTTACCTAAAAAAAAGATAACTTTATAGTCACAATACTTTTCACTACTATTTTTAGAAACCATTATGAAAATTTCGAAGTAAAGAAATAAAGGAACATATTATTTGCAAATAAAATAATATCATTAAACAATTTTTAATTGTGCAACAGTATTGTATGCTCTTGTAGTAAATTAATTGCATTAAAGATCGTTATATATACAGTTAATTCTGTAAATACTAAGTAATACTATCTAATATAAAATTCTTTCGAAAAATACTGGATATTTCAGATAGTGCTTACATTATATTGTTTTTGCACTGTAGATAAATATTAGGTTAATTTATAACAGTTTTTAAACTGTATACATAAATGTAGAATAGGATACAAACATTGACACAGTAGTGCATTATCAGATATATGTTTATAAAATTTATCACAATTTAGGACATACGTTGCCTAATTTCTTTCAATACTTATGTAAAATTTGTTATTTTTGATATTCTTTCTAAGAGTATTGTTGCAATATTAACTTTATTTCCTTTCGCGTCGAAATCGTCATAATAAATTAATTCACATAAATCTCTGGTTTCTGGGTTGCTTTGCAAAATTTCTTGTAATTTAGTATAAAATCTCTCGATAATCTTAGATTTATATCGTTTATATATAGCAGATTCAGGATGATTGTGTTTCTGTACTTCGTAGTATGTTAACAAAGGTGTCGCACCTTCCACCACTATATATACCGGTTTATTACCCGAGTTTCTTCCTCCAGGATGTATCTTGTAGGCATTGTTGCGATACGTCCTGCCTATATTCCCAGCCCGGTTACGTTTCTCCTCCTCTAGCTCGTGTATATTTTCCATCCACTGATAGGAAGCTTCCTTTAAGTCTGGTGGGATGTATCCAGAAGATGGTATTAAAAGAAATAGCTTGTGTATCGGAAATGTCACATTGTGATAGTCCTCGAAGTTTTCGATTTTCTCGATTATGCCCTTCCTGCCGGTTTCACTGGATGGTAGAGTAAGCTGCAGATAGCCATAGTAGAAATTATACGCCATACCCGTGCCATAATCCAGACCCTTCATAGCACTGAGATCAGACAGCAATCCTGTTTCCCATTCAGCCAAGTTGGTCATCCTGATTAGGCAGAAGGAAAATATTATCAGTGGCACGCACACGTAGGGCCCAAAGTCCCAGGCGTATCTCAAAGGGCATCCGCGAATGGTGATGCTCAAGCCCAGGAACAGCAATGTGGCAACGATGATGATTGTCGCCGATAAGGTATTCAGAGAGAAGTGATACTTCGCCACTGACCAGAAGCCCTCCTCAGAATGCTGGCCCACGTCAGTGGTGAATGAGACCAGCGTCTGGCACAGGCGTAGCGTCACATCGCAGAGCAGGAAGATCACGAGGAAGACGGACGCGACGAAGGTGGTCGCGATTATCGACACAATCGTCCTGTCCTTTGTCGTCTTGAACGCGGCGAAGGCGAAAAAAACGAGAAGGACGACACTATACGCCAAGTAGATCTTCAGCTTACGATCGGCCGTCGAATACTTCTCGCTTTCCATCCTCACCGAAATATAGTCACTGAATCAAGTTAGATCCGCCTCAATCCGGTCTGCAGAGAAAGACGGGGAAACACTGTGCTGCGATAAACTTCAGAGAAATGTGGCATAGCTGCGTCAAGTATCGAGTGTGACACACCCTTCCTTCTGCGAATTCTATATATCGAAATAGAACAGGAAACATGTTTAAAGGTTTATTCAGACGGACTTGCATAATCATGTATAATACGTGCCATGGAGCAGCCGACCAATCTTGCGTGTCCGACGCCACGTTGCTGAACTTCATGTCCATTTTATATCGTAATGCGTAATTAGTCGACTTCTTCTTTTCCTATTCATATGTATCGGCTTAACGATCACTCGGCTAAACAGGTGACTTTTTTTTATCTTATTTACGTAATTGGTGAACGTGAGGAATGAGTAATTAGCGTTATCATATGCCATTGTAAATATTTATAGTTTACGACTTAGTACATTCCTTAACTGGAAGACAATATTTGTTTACATCGTATAGTTCGACAGTCATCAGTGACTTTAAGAAACTGTGTTAAAAAATAAATCGAATTTTGGTTTAAAAAAATTTAATAAAGAATCGCTGACATTATTAAACTGTGTATATTTCGTGAATTCTGATTTAAAACGATTGAATATAGATTAGATACGCTTTGACTTCATCGAAGATATTTGATTCTCATGTCACATTGAAATTCTACCAGAGGTTTCTACACGCACTATGAATTTCCAAAAGACACGGCTAACACAATAAATTCTTTTTAGCCTAACTTTTTACAGTTTTTTTTCTCTTTTTTTTCTGTTTCCTCGACATAAAACCAAAAAGAGGAAAGATAAATCGTGCAAATTTAGCTAAAAAGAAATCTAGTACAACACAGTGAGTCGTTACATTTTTATTATTTATCAAAATAATTGTTGAACAAAGATGAAATGATCACTGTGTTACATTATATTATTTTGTAAATATAGCGACAGTGATCATGTCATCTTTAGGCCTGCACTAGTTCAGCCAAAAAGAGCAGGCTTTTTGTTTAACATTGGTAAACAACAAGAATGTAATAATCCATTGTGTCACACCGTGTCATTTGTATCGCTTGTTAAAAGGAAATACTTTATCTCTTGCTGAAAAAAGCCCTTTATATTTTAACTGTCAGATTAGCCGTATTCATGAAACACATCTAATATTTATACTAAATATAAGAATCAAATACACCGAATGTCAGTCCTTAACGTTTGTATACCTACAATAAAACCTTAGGAACTGTTAACTTTACTGTACGCCAATGATCACTCAAGCGACTGCAAATTACTACAATGAACTATAAGCAACTGATAACGACTAAACCGCTGCACAAGCTGCATTCTACAAGCGAGTGCAAGCGGCAGATAGACATAAGACGACAGAACGCGTCCATGCGACCCGAGATTGAACTAATGAATTCCGACGTCGACGAGTGTTTTTGGCGGGAAGGCGTTCGCTCATAACCCTTCATTTTCGGTAAACGGGGGAAAAGCGTGGCCGAGATAAAGACGCGGGAAGGCACGATCCCGTTTTTTCCCCCCGGTCATGTCGGTTGGCCTCGCGTCGCACCTGGTCACACCTGCCGGTGGACTCTTCTCGCGATTTCGTAATCGCGAGACGACGTGCGATCGTCCTGTAACGGTTCCCGAGCTGGCTGGCGGCGCAGCTGCTTCGGCTACGCTACGTCTCTCTGAGGGCACGAGAGAGGAAGCCTACTCTGTAACGCGCGCCAGAGAAAGAAAGAGAGAGAGCAGGAGATAGCGTTGGACGGGAGTGGGTGGGCCGGGAGGGGAGGAAATGGAGGGGAGAGCGGAGTAGCGCGTGTTGCCAGGTCGCGCGCGCGGAGCGCTGTTAACGCGAGTGAAATGAGCTGATGGACCGACCGCAGCACGGTCGGGAGACATCTACGATCGATAAAGGCTCGTAGAGAAAGCCCGAAATCGCGAGAGGGAGAGAGGAACAGAGATAAATAGAGAGAGAGAGAGAGAGAGAGAAAGAGAGCAAGAGACAGATCGGCCGGCAAGCGAACGATCGGCACGGTTTGTACGAGGTAATAAACGCCTTGGCGACGATTTTTCGCGACGCAGACAGGACAGCCGCGACGACGACGACGGCGACGACGGCGGTAATAGTAGTGGTGGTGGTTGTGGTGGTAGTGATGGTAGTGCGCGGCGCCGCGCGATTAATACAATCGGCAGGTGATCTCTCGTCGCTGATTAAAGCGCCATGTCCCGCGATGGACCAATCAGCTGCTTGGTAAACCGCCGTGAGACTTCGAGTCTGTCCACAGACGAATGACAACAAAAGAGACTGATAGAAGTCGCGCGCGCGAGAGAGCGAGTCCGAGTTTTTTTGCACGCGAGTGTGTTACTCCCGCGCGCAGCCGAGGAGGCCCAGTATATCCGCCGTCGCGGCCGCTTTTTTTCCGTTTACCCCCCGTAGCGCGCCGCGAGTAACGTCGCTTAGCCTGGTGGTGGTGAAAGGTGCCGTGAGGAATATGAAGAGGAGAAATGTTGAGTGCGGTAAGCTTCGGAGGCCCTTGAAACGCAACAAGCTCACCGAGGGGATCTACGGAAGGTAAATTCTCACGCCGCCATATGCGTATCGCGTACGTATGTACACCTACGTCGGGGAATGGCCCGTTTTCCTTCGTAATCAAAAAACGTAACCAAAACCCTCCTTCCCCTCCTAATCCCTCACCCCCCGCGCGGTCCCCCCCCTCGCCTATCTCGCGGAAAGACGCGAGTGTTGTAGGTCACGACAACGATAACGATGATAGCGATAACGACGACCATAATAATGACGAGCATGATAATTATGATTATGATCATGATGTTGATGACGACGATAACGGCGGTGGCAACGATCGCGCGCGCGAATATCGAGCAACCGCGACGCCGAATCGACGCCGCTCTCGTCTCGCTTGACATTTACCTGCGTCCTGCGATTCGGATGTTCTAAGGACATACGATATCTCCTTCGTTCTCGCTGTTTTTCTATTTCTTTTTTTTTTTTCTTTCTTTCGTCCCGCAGTCTCTCGTCTAAACGCATCCATCGCATATTTAGCACATATGCAGCATCCTATGTTCCAATGACTCTTGTTTGTTGTGCATGGCTTACAAGCGGCTAAACACCGCGATAAGAGTAAAACAAATGCGATAGTTCAACGGACTTTTCTTTCTTGTTCTAATTTTTTTTACTTAGAGAGCATAAGATCGTGTTATGTAAGATCTCTGGTGTTTTCGATGACACCAACTTGGTATCTCGTATCTTGTGATCCAAACATATTTATCGAATATTTTGAAAGAAAATATGGATGGCTCACAAAGGTCAGTACAATTTGTTTTTTGTCGTTGACCTGGATTATATTAAAAACCTTCTTTCTTGTTTTTTTTTTTTTTTTTTTTCAAATGAATATTTATTATACTTCAAGTACAAGTATGTACTAATTAAACTACAAAAATCTAAAGTAAATATAGAAACATACAGATGTATCAGTCACTGTGAGTTGTAATCTAGGATATGGTAAACATAACGTGTATTAAAATAATTATATTTGTTTCAGTACCTTGCTTTATCTGAAGTTTCTTCTACTATGGGCCATGGTGATTTTGGCAGACTTCATTTTGGAATTCCGTTTTGAATTTTTGTGGCCGTTCTGGCTACTCCTCCGAAGCGTTTACGATTCCTTTAAATATCAAGGCTTGGTAAATGTCAACGTGTGTTACGCAATTATCAAGATTACGCAATCGGACATTATTGGATATATGTAAAATCTCATTGTCTCTTTTTTCTCTCTGTTTTAGGCCTTCTCTGTATTTTTTATTTGTATTGCACTTACGTCAGACATGATTTGCTTCTTTTTTATCCCTGTGCATTGGCTGTTTTTTGCTGCCAGCACTTATGTTTGGGTGCAATACGTTTGGCATACAGGTACGTAGAAAACAAATGTATTTGAAATATGGACAAACGTGTAATATACACCTGTCAAAATGTGATTCCTTCGTACTACTGATACTGGTCCATGACATACTTGCAGGAATTCAATTTTTAAGAATTCTGATTTTTAATAGATGTAAGAGATTAATTAAAATGTTAATATTTTAAATAGATAAAGGAGTGTGTCTACCAACTGTGATGCTGTGGCTACTATTTCTATATATAGAAGCAGCAGTGCGGTTGCGTGACTTGCGTCATATGCCATTTCACCTAGACCTCTGTCGGCCGTTTGCAGCACATTGGTAACAGTTTTATCTTTGTTTTTTTTTTTGTAGATAAATATATCATTAAAAGATTATGATTCGTG